TGGGCCCAGGGTCTCCATGCTGTGTGCAGCCTAGGGACTTGGTGCCTGTGTACCAGCCACTCCAGCCATGGCTGAAAGGGGACAAAGTGGAGCTCAGGCCATGGCTTTAGAGGGTTTAAGCCTTAAGCCTTGGCAACTTCCACATGGTGTTGAGCCTGCAAGTGCACAAACATCAAGAATTGAAGTTTGGGAACCTCTGCCTAGATTTCAGATGTATGGAAAATCCTGGATGCCCAGGTGGAGGGGCAGGGTAGATCCATTGACAGCTTACAGCATGTGCCTGGAAAATATTCAGATAATGCCAGCCTGACAAGGCAGCCAGGAGGGATCATACTACCTGACTTCAAACTTTTGTATTTTTAGTAGAGTCAGGGTTTCACCATGTTGGTCAGGCTGGCCTTGAACTCCCGACCTCAGGTGATCCACTTGCCTTGGCCTCCCAAAGTGCTGGGATTACAGGCATGAGCCACTGCACTTGGCCTGGACTGTGTACTTTTGAGTTAATGCAGAAATGAGTTGAGACTTTGGGGGACTGTTGGGAAGGCATGATTGGGTTTTAAATGTGAGGACATGAGATTTGGGAGGGGCAAGGGGTGGAATGATATGGTTTGGCTGTGTCCCCACTGAAATCTTATCTTGAATTTCCATGTGTCGAGGGAGGGACCCAGTAGGAGGTCACTGAATCACGGGGCAGGACTTTCCTGTGCTATTCTTGTGACAGCGAATACATCTCACAAGATCTGCTGATTTTAAAAAGGGGAGTTTCCCTGCCCAAGCTCTCTTCTCTCGTCTGCCCCACATGAGATGTCTCTTTCACCTTCCACAATGATTGTGAGGCCTCCTCAGTCAAATGGAACTGTGAGTCCATTATACCTCCTTCCTTTGTAAATCACCCAGTCATGGGTATGTCTTTATCAGCAGTGTGAAAATGGACTACTACACACCAGATACCCTAACTTATCTCTCTCAAGTTCAAAGTTCCACAAATCTCTAGGGCAGGGGCCACCAGTCTCTGCTAAAACGTTATGTGTCACTCTTGCTCCAGTTCCCAATAAATTCCTCATCTCCATCTGAGCCCACCTCAACCTGGACTTTATTTTTCACATCGCTATCAGCATTTTTGTCAAAGTCATTCAACATGTCTCTAGGAATTTCCAAACTTTCTCACATTTTCTTGTCGTCTTCTGAGCCCTCCAAATTGTTCCAGCCTCTGCCTGTTACCCAGTTCCAAAGTTGCTTCCACATTTTCAGGTCCCTTTTCAGCAGTGACCCACTCGACTGGTACCAATTTACTGTATTTGTCTGTTTTCCGCTGATGATAAAGACATACCTGAGATTGGCAATTTACAAAAGAAAGAGGTTTAGTTGGACTTACAGTTCCACAGAGCTGGGGAGGACTCACCATCATAGTGGAGGTAAAGGAGGAGCAAGCCCCATCTTCTGTGGACGGTGGCAGGCAAAAAGACTGCTCCCTTCATAATTTTTGAAAGAAAATCGAGAAATTATAGAAATTGAAATATGTTTTTAAACTTGTAGTGAGTAGCAGAGTCAGATAAGACAAAGACTCCAGCAGGGTCTGGGATAAGAGGAGGATCTTTGGGAAACCCCAAAGACAAGCATGTAGATTTCCAGTGTTTCTTCACCTCCACAGTCGGATGCAATCTCTTTCCTCCGAACAATTTGCAAACTTCTCCTTGGCTCTCTGTAGTACTTATTATTTCTACCTTATTTTAGGATTGTTTTTAATGCAGGTTTAATTTCACTTTCTAAACCCATTCCACTGTGCACAAGACTATGCAAACCTACCACTGAAGTCTGAGGAAGCTGAGAGGCTAAAGAGGCTGACATATCCAGTTTTTCAGAAAGAAACATTTCAGCTGGGCACAGTGGCTCACGCCTGTAATTCCAACAATTTGGGAGGTTAAGGTAGGCAGATCATGAGGTCAGGAGTTCAAGACCAGTCTGACCAACATAATGAAACCGTCTCAACTAAAAATACAAAAAATTAGCCGGGTGTGGTGACGTGCACCTATAATCCCAGTTACTTGGGAGGCTGAGGCAGGAGAATTGCGTGAACTCGGGAGGCAGAGATTGCAATGAGCCAAGATTGTACCATTGCACTCCAGACTGGGCGACAATGTGAGACTCCATCTCAAAAAAAAAAAAAAAAAGAAATCTTTTATAGGGACTTACGAACAGAAGCCATATCTGTGTCCTTGGGTGAACCCAGGAAGCGGAGGTTGCAGTGAGCTGAGATTGTTCCATTGCACTCCAGCCTGGGTGACAGTGTGAGACTCCGTCTCAAAAAAAAAAAAAAAAAAAGAAACATTTCAGGCCGGGCGCAGTGGCTCAAGCCTGTAATCCCAGCACTTTGGGAGGCTGAGGAGGGTGGATCACAAGGTCAAGAGATCGAGACCATCCTGGTCAACATGGTGAGACCCTGTCTCTACTAAAAATACAAAAAAAAAATTAGCTGGGCATGGTGGCGCGTGCCTGTAATCCCAGCTACTCAGGAGGCTGAGGCAGGAGAATTGCCTGAACCCAGGAGGCGGAGGTTGCAGTGAGCCGAGATCGCGCCATTGCACTCCAGCCTGAGTAACAAGAGCGAAACTCCATCTCAAATAAAAAGAAACATTTCATAGGGATTTATCAACAGAACAGTGGTAAGACAAGATGGTGGATCCCTGCACCGTTACCCACAAGACCCAGGGCTTATATACCTTAGGGAAAAAGTGATTTGGAAGGGATGTGTAGTCTAAAATGCAACCGATTTGCACCATGAAGGGGTCACTGATATAAAGGTATGCTTTATTGATCTTACACTGGTGTCTATATACATATATATAGGAATAGAAGGTGAAAATATATCAATAGGCCCATGCTTTTTCTGAAATCATTCTGAAATTAGACTTGTCTATTTGCCATCTGAATGTCAGTGTTGTTTTCATATATACAGTTAGTTTTAGTTTATACACGTTTACATACCCATTTCCTTTTTTTTAAATTTCAAATTTTAGTTAGGGGAACACGTGCAGATTTGTTACATGGGAATATTGTGTGATGCCGAGGTTTGAAGTATGAAACCTGTCACCTGGTAGTAAGCAAAGTACCCAATAGTTTTGTTTTGTTTTGTTTTGTTTGAGTTGGAGTCTTGCTCTGTTGCCCAGACTGGAGTGCAGTGGCATGATCTCAGCTCACTGCAACCTCTGCTTCCTGGGTTCAAGCAAGTCTCCTCCCTCAGCCTCCTGAGTAGCTGGAATTACAGGTGCAAGCCACCACACCGGGCTAATTTTTCGTATTTTTAGTAGAGACTGGGTTTCACTCTATTGGTCAGGCTGGTCTTGAACTCCTGATCTCGTGATCCACCTACCTCAGCCTCCCAAAGTATTGGGATTACAGGCATGAGCCACCGTGCTCAGATTTTTTTTTTTTTTTTTGAGACAGAGTTTTGCTCTTATTGCCCAGGCTAGAGTGCAATGGTGCGATCTTGGCTCACTGCAACCTCCACCTCCTGGGTTCAAGTGACTCTCCTACCTCAGCTTCCCGAGTACCTGGGATTACAGGTGTGTCACCATGCCTGGTTAATTTTTGTATTTTTAGTAGAGATGGGGTTTCACCATGTTGGCCACGCTGGTCTTGAGCTCCTGACCTCAGGTGATCTGCCTGCCTCGGCCTCCCAAAGTGCTGGGATAACAGGTGTGAGCCACTGTGCCTGGTCTTAGCTCCCACTTGCAAGTGAGAACAAGGCCAGGCGCAGTGGCTCAAGCCTGTAATCCCAGCACTTTGGGAGGCCGAGGCGGGTGGATCACGAGGTCAAGAGATTGAGACCATCCTGGTCAACATGGTGAAACCCGTCTCTACTAAAAATACAAAAAATTAGCTGGGCATGGTGGCGCCTGCCAATTGCTGAGTAATAATCCCAGTTACTCAGGAGGCTGAGGCAGGAGAATTGCCTGAACCCAGGAGGTGGAGGTTACGGTGAGCCAAGATTGCGCCACTGCACTCCAGCCTGGGTAACAAGAGCGAAACTCCGTCTCAAAAAAAAAAAAACAAAAAACAAGTGAGAACAAGCAATATTTGTTTTTCTGTTCCTGCATTAATTTGCTTAGGATAATGGCCTCCAGTTCCATCCATGTTGCTGCAAAGGACACAATTTCATTCTTTTTTATGTCTGTGTAGTAGTCCATGGTATATAAATACCACACTTTCTTTATTCAGTCTACTATTGGTAGGTACTTGATACCCAGAATTCTTGAAGAAGCATTTCTGTTTATAATGATATTGTAGAGGATTAAAGATGAGTGCAATTTTTTTTGGCATTCCTCCTGTTGAGAGTTGGGTATCTATGTCTCTTCTCCTTGAACCTGAGCTGGTCTATGCCTGCTTTGACAGTACTGTGGAAGAGATACTGTACCAGTGCCAATCATAGCCTTTAAGAGGACTAGAAATTTCCACGTTGGTCTCTTGGAGCCCTGCATTGTCACATAAGAAGTCTGGCTACCCTAAAGTGCCATGGTGGTATAGCTGTGTTGAGAGGGGAGAGGGAGGGAGGGAACGGATGTCTTAGGCAGCTGCCAGCTGTGATTTGCATCATTTAGTCCAGCTGAGGCCCCAGACATTGCAAAGCAGAGAGAGATGAACTTCCCTCCTGACTTCTTTGAATTCCTGACCCTCAGAATTGTGAAAATTATATCACAAGTAGAAATTGTTTTAAGCAACAAAGTTTGGGAGCAGTTTATTAAGCATCAGGAGTTAGCTGTGTTTTTGGAGTGTGGTGATGGTTTCTGTGGACACTGCCCTGGGAACATGAGTCATCACATCCCCTCCTCTTTCATTTCCCATTGCAACCAATAAAGGCTGTTCATACTATTAGAGAGAGAGAAAGAAAGAAGAAAAAATCCCCCCAAATCATTAACTAGAACAGATGTTTTAAGATAACCAACTATTATTTTAATTCACAAATGTGTATACATAGATTACATAAAGAAATTGAGTACACATGTTGCATTTAAAAAATGTAGGTTATTTGTACAAAATTAAAATGCATTTAAGCAAACATTTTAACATTAAAAAAAAATTAATCATTGATTGACTGATCGAGATGGGGTTTTGCTCTTGTTGCCCAGGCTGGAGTGCAATGGTGCAATCGTGGCTCACCGCAACCTCCACCTCCTGGGTTCAAGCGATTCTCCTGCCTCAGCCTCCTGAGTAGCTGGGATCACAAGTACCCACCACTATGCCTGGCTAATTTTGTACTTTTAGTACAGATGGGGTTTCTCCATGTTGGTCAGGCTGGTCTCAGATGATCCACCTGCATTGGCCTCCCAAAGGGGATTACAGGTGTCAGCCACTCCACCTGGCCAATCACATATTTAATATTAAGACTTAAGTCTTTAGAAACATTATTATTTAAAAAATAACTGATACTGCTTTAACAGTGATTAATTCACCACGGTATAATTAGCAAGAATGATGCATTTTATTTAAGTTGCAGAAAATAATTACTCAGATCCTTCCTAAGTATTTTTAGTTTTGTTTTTTTTTTTTGAGACAGAGTCTCGCTTTGTTACCAGGCTGGAGAACAGTGGTGCAATCTCAGTTCACTGCAACCTCTGCCTCCTGGGGTCAAGTGATTCTCCTCCTCAGCCTCCCGAGTAGCTGGGATTATAGGTGTTTGCCACCACACCCAGCTAATTATCATATGTTAGTAGAGATGGGGTTTCACCATGTTGGCCAGGATGGTCTCAATCTCTTGTCCTTGTGGTCCGCCTGACTTGGCCTCCCAAAGTACGGGAATTACAGGCATGAGCCACCATGCCCAGTATATTTTTAGTTCTTAAAAAATTTTTATTGCCACATCACAAGGAGTCAAGAGGATCCTTCCTAAGTTTTATATCCACACAAAAATGTGATGCCTATATAGTGACCAAAAACAAAAAAATAAAAGTAGGTTCAGCTCTCTATCTTGGAAACAATTTTAATCTGAAAGCATTCATCAGAGGACCCATATGAAAGCGTTATACTGATCTGTGGAAAAGCAGTAACTTATTGGGCTGTTTCCAGGAGACACAGATTCTTCGTTTCTGAGTTCCTGAGCTGTTCACTCACTGTGCCAGAGCAGCTGACTTCCCACAGGGTATACTTGAGTATCTCAGCAACCGAGGCCCGGAAGCGAGCTTGGAACTTTTTACTAATTAGGACATAAAGGATGGGGTTCAAGCAACTATTGAGGAATGCCAAACCAGTGGAGAGGGGGATTCCAGCCTGCAGCACATAGTGGGAATAGCTATTGTGGTGAATGGTGAGCTCCCAAATGCTAAACAGGTGATAGGGAGTCCAGCAAACCACAAAGGCCACAACCACAGCCAGAATTGTCCAGAAATGCTTACTGGAGATCAGGATGCTTCGCTTCTTCACTTTGAAGATGAGACACAAGTAGAAAATACTCATTGTTAGCAAAGGGAAGAGATAGCCAAAGATAAATTTCGCCCAGGTCAGAACATGGTGTCTTATCAAAGTGAGGTCAGGATCATGCTTCTGAAAATTGTTATAGCAAAGAGTATGGTTACGGAACTCCACAGTTTCCCGGAAGTATAGGGCAGGACCACCAATTAGAGAAGCCAAAAGCCAGATGAATATAATGACAATCAGAGAGTTGTTGAGGGTTCGATGCCGATGACACAAGACAGGATGGATCAAGTGGATATAGTGGTCCAGGCTGATCACCGTCAGGAAGAAAACACTGGCAAACATGTTCAACTGGGCAATGAAGGAATTGGCTTTGCACAGCCAGATGCCAAAGGGCCAGTGGAAATTCATGGCCACATAGGAAATGTACAGGGGCAGGAAGAGAAGAAAAATGAAATCCGCAATGGCTAGATTAAGAAACCACAGAGTAGTGACTGACTTCTTCCACTTGAACCCCGTGAACCAAATGACAATGGCATTTCCTGGAATACCCAGTACAAAAGCTAAACAATATAACACCAGGGAGACCCAGTGAACAACTCCCAACTCAACTTTCTCCTCCAAATCAGACTCCAGAGAGTAATAGTCTAGTTCATAGGAATAGTTCTCAAATTCTTCAAATAATGTTTCCTCTATATCTCCCATGACCTTGGTAAATGGAGAATGAAGAAATCTGTAGAAACAAATTTTAAAAGAAAGAAAAAAATTTTAAAGAAAAATAAAATGTTAGTGAATAAGGAACATGAAGATAAAAATATTTCAGGTTATAGATCAGACATAGTAATTCTTTTTTTTTTGAGACAGGATCTCACTCTGTTGCCCAAGCTGGAGTGCAGTGGCATGATTTTGGCTCACTGCAGCCTTGACCTTATAAGCTCAAGTGCCTCCTACCTCAGCCTCCCCAGTAACTAGGACTACAGGTCCTCATGGCCATACCCAGCCAATTAACATTTTTTTTTTTATAGAGATGAGGACTCACTATATTGCTCAGGCTGATCTTGAACTTCTGGGCTCAAGTGATCCTCCTGTCTCAGCCTTCCAGGGTGTTGGGATTATAGGCATAAGCCACCATGCCCAGCCAACATCGTATATTTTTTGATGGGACTTATGGTTATACTCCACATGTTCAAGTCTTGGCGAGCCTCAGTTTTACTCAGCTTATCACTCTCCCAGCTATGAAATTACATTTTTTTATAAAGTATTTAGTAATTGCTAAATTAAAATGAATGACTCTACAGTTAAAATTCTTCTGTTCATAATGCTTGTAGGGCTAACTAAGAGAGTCTAACATTCAACAAGCATTTATTAGATTCCTACTATACATTATTATTTTATGGCAGATGCAAAAAAAAATATTAATACTTACACAGTGATAACTTAAAAAGCTGTATTTCAGCCAGGCACAGTGGCTCACGCCTGTAATCCCAGTACTTTGGGAGGCTAAGGCAGGGAGATCACTTGAGACCAGCCTGGGAAATATAGCAAAAACCTGTCTCTACAAAAAAATTAGCCCAGTCTGGTGGCTCATACTGTAGTCTCAGCTACTTAGGAGGCTGAGGCAAGAGGACTGCGTGAGCCCAGGAGTTTGTGGCTGCAGTGAGCTATGATGGAGCCACTGCACTTCAGCCTGGGCAGCAGAGCAGGACACCACCTCAAGACAAAAATTTTCCTGCAAAATCTGGATTTGTTGTTGCCCTGATTTCTTAAGCTCTAGACAAACAGTTCCAGTTACTTCCTAGACCCCTCCACCTGGATGTTACTGAAGATTTTGACTTAAGATTTTGCTTCTAAGAATGTTTTGAGTCCATGTTTATGCAACCAAAAAGAGTAATCAGAATTATATCAATATAAATGGCTTCTCATCCTAAAGGTAGCTTTTGGAATATACTTAATTATGGCCACTTAATTTCTATATTAATTTCCTAATGAATGCAACTAAGCTTTATTTAAATTTTTACCTTACTGAAATAATTCTTTTCTACAATAATTTATGACAAAGACTGGATTTTTTTTTTTTGAGACAGAGTCTTGATCTGTTGCCAAGGCTGGAGTGCATGGTGTGATCTCAGCTCACTGCAGCCTCTGCCTCCTGGGCTCAAGCAATTCTCCTGCCTCGGTCTCCTGAGTTGTTGGATTACAGATGCCTGCTACCACTCCTGGCTATTTTAGTAGAGACAGGGTTTCATCATGTTGGCCAGGCTGGTCTCAAATTCCTGATCTCAAGTGACCCACCTGCCTTGACCTCCTGAAGTGCTAGGATTACAGGTGTAAGCCACAGTGCCTGGCCGAAGATTGGATTTATTAATCAGTTTCACTTTATTTTTGTCCATACCAAATTTTTTCTCATAATTTCTACCAAAGTAAGTTTTATTTTGTGCCTACCCACCTCCCTTTTTTCTCATCAAGTCCAGTTTTTCTGGGTTAAGAAGACTTGAATGTCAGTTTTTCAATCAGAATGAAAGTGTACTGTAGGCAACTCTGGAATCTTCCATTTTATTTTGTGCTATTTCTATCTTTAGTATTGAAGATTAAGTAGAAAAAAAGATTAATAGTTATATTCATTTCATGGAGCTACAATCATACATGAGGCAAATACATAAAATTTGAGATTATAAAGAGGTCAAAACATCCTGTGTTGCTCATGGGTTTCTCAAATTCAATTTGACTATCACTGGATTCATTCATCATCCTAGCTAAAACCTGAGAAATCTGACAGGGCATAATTAAAAAACAAAAGCAATTTATTCACTTCCTCCCAGCCCTAGCCCAGTAACTTTTTTGTTCTTCAGGATTCAATTCAAATGCCACCTTTCTTAGAAACATTTTCTGACTTACCTTTCTGCAGATAATTATAATAATTATTGTTATTAAAACAATTTATTATAAAATAATAGTCAGTGTTATTGAGAATTTACTAGATGTCAGACATGTATGATCTAATTTGATCCTCATAAGAATCTTACAGATACCTGTAATCCCAGCTCTTTGGGAGGCTGAGGCAGGAGGAGTGCTTGAGCCCAGGAGTTTGAGACAAGCCTGGGCAACAAAGTGAGACACTGTTTTCTTAAAAGCAAAAAAAAAATCTTACATTGTAGGCAAGTACAGGTGACCCTTGAAAAACATGGGGGGTGCCTAGAGGTGATGTCCCCACACACAGTAAAAAAAATTCACATAAAACTTTTAATTATTATTATTTGAGACAGTCTCCCACTGTCACCCAGGCCAGAGTGCAATGGTGCAATCATAGCTGACTGCAGCTTCAAACCCCTAAGCTCAAGTGATTATTTCACCTCAACTTCTCAAGTACCTGGGACTACAGAAGTACACCACCATGCCTGGCTAATATTCTTATTTTTGTAGAGATGGGATCTTGCTATGTTGCCCAGGCTGGTCTTGAACTCCTGGCCTTAAGGGATTCTCCTGCCTCAGCCTCCCAAAGTGCTGAAATTACCAGAGTAAGTCACTGTGCCCAGCCTATTATTATTATTATTATTATTATTGAGATGGAGTCTTGCTCTGTTGCCCAAGTTGGAGTGGAGTGGTACAGTCTCAGCTCACTGCAATCTCCACCTCTGGGGTTCAAGTGATTCTCCAGCCTCAGCCTTCCTAGTAGCTGGGATTACAGGCACCAGCCACCATACCTTGCCAATTTTTGTATATTTAGTAGAGACAGGGTTTCACCTTGTTGGCCAAGCTGGTCTTGAATTCCTGACCTCAGGTGATCTGCCCGCCTTAGCCTCCCAAAGTGTTGAGATTTCAGGCATGAGCCACGATGCCCGGGCTTATTATTGTTGAGACCAACTCTCTCACTCTGTTGCCAAGGCTGAAGTGCAGTGTTGCAATCTTGGCTCACTGCAACTTCTGCCTCCTAGGTTCAAGAGAGTCTCCTCCCTCAGCCTCCCAAGTAGCTGGGACTACAGACTTGTGCCACCACGCCGGGCTAATTTTTGTATTTTTAGTAGAGATGGGGATTCACCATGTTGGCCAGGCTGGTATTGATCTTCTGAGCTCAAATAATCCACCCACCTCAGCCTCCCCAAAGGGCTGGAATTACAGGCGTGAGCCACCATTCCTGGCCCTATTATTATTTTTTTTAGAAACAGGTATCACTATGTTTCCCAGGCTAAACTCAAACTCCTAGGTCCAAGGTTCCTCCCACCTCAGACTCCTCAGTTGTTGAGACTACAGGAACATACCACCAAACTTATGTTGCATATAACTTTTGACTCCCCCAAAACTTAACTATTAATAGCCTTCTGTTGATTAGAAGCCTTACTGGCTGGGCGTGGTGGCTCACACCTGTAATCCCAGCACTTTGGGAGGCCGAGGAGGTTGGATCACCAGAGGTTGCGAGTTTGAGACCAGTCTGACCAACATGAAGAAACCCCATCTCTACTAAAAATACAAAATTAACTGGGCATGATGGTGCATGCCTGTAATCCCAACTACTCGGGAGGCTGAGGCAGGAGAATTGCTTGAATCTGGGAGACAGAGGTTGCTGTGAGCCGAGATCATGCCACTGCACTCCAGCCTGGGCATCAAGAACAAAACTCCATTTCAAAAAAAAGCCTTACTAATGACATAAAGTGTCAACACATATTTTGTAGGTTTTATGTACTATATATTGCATTTTTGCAATAAAGTAAGCTAGAGAAAAGAAAATGTTATTAGGAAATCATAAGAGGCTGAGAGCAATGGCTCACACCTATAATCCCAGCACTTTGGGAGGCCAAGGTGGGTGAATGACCTAAGGTTAGGAGTTCAAGAGCAGCCTGACCAACATGATGAAACCCTGTCTCTACTAAAAATATGAAATTAGCTGCATATGGCAGTGTATGCCTATAATCTCAACTACTCGGGAGACTGAGGCAGGAGGATTGCTTGAATCCAGGAGGTGGAGGTTATAGTGAGCAGAGATTGTACAACTTCAGCTTGAGCAACAAGAGTGAAACTTCATCTTTAAAAAAAAAGGGGGAAATCAAGAAGAAAAAAATGTATTTACTATTCATCAACTGGAAGTGGATCAACATATAGGGCTTCATCCTCATCATCTTCACAAGCAGGCTGAGGAGGAGGAAGAAGGCGGGTTGGTCTTGCTATCTTGGGGTGGTTGGGGCAGAGGAAGAAAAGTGGATCTGCATAGTCGAAATCCATGTTGAGAGCTAGGCGTGGTGGCTCACATCTGTCATCCCAGCACTTTGGGAGACTGAGGTGGGTGGATCACGAGATCAGGAGATTGAGACCATCCTGGCCAACACAGTGAAATTCCAGCTCTACTAAAATACAAAAAAAAAAAAAAAAAATTATCTGGGCATGGTGGTGCACACCTGTAGCCCCAACTGCTCAGGAGGCTAAAGCAGGGCAATCACCTGAACCCGGGAGGTGGAGGTTGCAGTGAGCTGAGATCGCATCACTGAACTCCAGCCTGGCGACAAAATGAGACTCCATCTCAAAAAAAAAAAAGAAACTCATGTTGTTCAAGAGTCATCTGTACTATTATTGGACTCATTTATAAGAAACATTGAAGCTTATAGAAGTTCAGTAACTTACTCAAGATCAGGCAACCTGTGATTGCAGGGTCAGGATCTAAAGTCAGATTGGTTGGACCCATAGCCTGAACTCCTAACCACTACAGCATTCCCCTCTTCTGTCATACTTCTCTTATCACACTTA